CAAAGTTGCCATGTAAATATCAAACGACGCGCACAACTGACTAGTAAAGGGAATGTGAGATGAGACTCTGATTGGTTAAATGCACATTATTCTCAACACACACCCATTACTCATTAAGAGAATAAGCTCAACCCCGTTAGACCATGCACTGTGGCACAGAGCGTATTTTTCCATATTTAAAATAGTAAAACTGGATTTAAACATGCCCTTAATGCTTTTGCGCTCTGCGCTTTAGACTAACCCAAAATCGTATACTTATGCACTGTTCTACGCTATTTTGTAGTATAAATAATGTAAGTAGTGCGTTCACATTGAAAACTGATAAACACTTCACGCACTCAGCGACCGCAAGTTTGCTCACATGGCGGAAGACGCGGAGCTATCAGCCGCACATGTTGGATAACTTTATTTATTTTGCATTGTGAAAGCAAAATTTTCCTACGAGAGTCATTATAGCGCCTCCCGATGGAGAATGTGGTAATACTCACGGCAAGTATTTAACCGTCAAACGTCATCAGGGAAACGGTTTGAATTTCCGCTTGGTAAAGAAACATTAGTGTGCCATTTGGGACGACACTACATTGTACGCTATATAAATTAACATATACTATGCTGTTGAAGTGTGCAAGTGCATAAGTACATAGTGCATGAGGGTGCCATTTGAGACGCAGTGTATGTGCCTAGATCGTCAAAATAGAGCCAATTGAAATATGGATGCCTGCTGCGGGTGATTTGGATGGTTGCTATGCTATTACTAGGCCAGTGGGAAGTTGTCAGGCTATTAAAACTGGAAACATGCGATGCATTTTTATCCAGTTATTTGCAATGGCAGAAAACAATGGCATAAATATTTGCACATCATTGCTCTCTCTGCTGTCATTTGCATGTGAAATCTAAAACCCATTTACAGATCGTGACACTTTCAAGAGGACTAACCTCAGCATCATGATAGCATGTAAATACTAAGGCCTGTGATATTCTCTTTTTCCCATCTGTCTTGTATTTTTCCCAGTGTTTCAGATTCATTGCCTACATGTCACATTTATCAGGTGCTTCATATTAACTTGCCAATAAATGTATGATTTAAATAGGGGCGGCATGGTGACAATTGTACAGCTGTAGTTTGGATGAAGTAAATGTCTTTATAAATCCCTGCATACATTGGTTTGCAGCTAGATTAAAGTGCCTGCAGTTCCCTTCCCATATGATAGCATGTCTTTAAACATAAAAAGCCTGGTCATGTTCATTAGCTGTGTTTTTTATAGCGCAGGACTCTCTAATTGTGTCATGCTGCATAATTACATGTCTCAGAAGCTGTTTTTAGTGTCTTTGCAGCTCACTTCATACCCACCCTGATTTACTCCACCGCATATGTACTTACTCTATATGTCAGCGCGGGAGCGTATGGTTATTATTATATATAATACGTTCATACGTGCGACCTCCAGCTTGTAATTACAGGAGATGAGAGAGTAGAGAAAACACAGCCAGGACAAACACACTCCTGCGTACAGTAAAGAGACTGTAGGATGTTCATTTAGACCTGTGTTTGCTCAGATTATTTCTGTGTGCCAGGGGAGATTTGCTTGGAAAGGGATCTGGCTGAAGCACTCTTAAAGGAACAGTTCATCCAAATATGTCTTCATTCATTCATTTTGCTTCAGCTTAGTCGCTTTATTTATTAGGGATCGCCACAGGGGAATGAACCGCCAACTTATCCAGCATTTGTTTTAAACAGTGGATGCCCTTCCAGCCCAGATTAATAAAGGGACTAAGATGAAAAGAAAATAATTAAGTAAATATTATTATTACTATTATTATTATTATTATTATTAACTGTTTTCCTTTTGATTAAATAAAAATGTATTTATTCCTCTGATGTAAAACAAAATAAATAAAATTCTACATTTTTTATGCAATATTTGTACATTATTATTATTATTAAAAATAACTTTTTTTATTAATTAAATTTAATTGATTTATTCCATACTAAATACAATTGTATGTAAATTATTAAAAATATAATGATATAAGATCATTATCACCTGCAGCTATCGATTCAAAAATGTTTATTATTATTCATATTAATTATTATTTCAGTGTTTATAACTGTTTACATATTTAAAAAAGTACCATTATTAGTGTGTTTTATTTTATACATCAAGGACACATTAAATTAATCGAGAGTGAATGAAAAATAATTTACTTATATACCTCTTATATATATATATATATATATATATATATATATATATATATATATATATATATATAAATAATATTAAATATAAATAATAAAATTTTTTTGTCGTTATTTGTTTTATTAAAGAATTCTAAAAAGTAAAATAGTAAAATATATTAATGTTTAAAATATGTTTGAAATGTTAATAATTTAAAGAACAATAATAATTGAACATATAGGGAAGAGAAAATCCTTCCATTATAATGATTTCTGAAGGATAGCGTGACGCTGAATACTGGAGAAAATTCGGCTTTGAATCACAGGAATAAATTAACATTTAAACTACATTCACTGAGAAAACCGCTATTTAAAATTGTAATACTTTTTCAGATTTTTGATTACATGAATGCTGTTTTTTTGAGCAGAATAGTCTTGTTTAAAAAAAATCATACTCATGCCGAACTTTTGACTGGTAGTGTATCGATAAGCATAAGCTAACTTCTCAAAAACGGGTTCAGAATTTCCAGATCGTCAAGGCTCTGATGCTTTAAAATGCTGCTTTCATAAGCATAAACATTATTTATTCATGCAGATATGCAGGATTGGAGCTCACAAACTCTCAACACTGATCGATAAGGAACTGTTTGTTCAGCCTCAGGCTGCACAGAAAATTATTCACAGTTATTCACATATTTTCATGTATGTGGCTAACCAAAAGCAACTGCAAAATAATGAATTCCAAACCAGTTTCCAACAGACGGAACTGTTTTATTTGTCGTTTATTTATGCAATTTTCAACTTTTTTCAAAGATAATAATGAGCGAAGTGTAATCCTTTCATAACATCTAAATTCTTAAACAGTTTTATTCCGTATTTATTATGTGATTTTCACATTTATCGCACATAATAATGTGCGCAGTGTGATCTTATAATCATTGAAGTTTTTTAAACTGTTAATTTGCTATTTATTTATGTGATTTTTCTACTTTTAGGTACATAATTATGTGCGAAATAATCTTGTAGGCCACTCTTACTAGTTGGGCTATTTATAGTTTGGATTGATCCAATTGCAGCCAGCCGCAATCAATCACATCACGTGCTTCTCTCGAAATTAGTTTGTCGAAATTCACTTACTTATGCGATTTACAAATGTTTCATACGTAAATATTTGTGAAAATATAATCTTATCATAATCATTAAATACTTAAACGGGTTTATTCACTATTTATTCATGCAAATGTACTTTTTTTTGCATCAAATTTGGACTTTTTTGTACATAAATGTGTGCGAAATGTAAATTCTTAAACTGTATATTCATTATTTATTCATTAAATTTTATTTTAAACAGTTTTATTTGCTATTTCTTTATGCAAATTGCCATAGTATACACTGAAAAAAATTATTCAGAGATGACTCCTTGGATTTACTTTTTTTTTTTTTTACGTATAATTGCTATAATAATGTGCGAAATGTAATCTTACAATAATCAATTCTATTCTTAAACATAATATTTGCAATTTATTCGTACATAATTATCGTAATCATTAAATACTTTAACTAGTTTATTCGCTATTTATTTATGCAAATTGCTACTTATTAATACCTAATAATGAGCCAAATGTAATCTTATAATAATCAATTCTAATCTTAAACATGTTATTCACAATTTATGCCATTTTTAATTTTTTTTTTGTACATAACTATGTGCAAAATGTAAATACTTAAACTGTTTTATTCACTATTTATTAATGCAAATTTCTACTGTTTTGTACATAATTATGTGCGAAATAGACCCTTTTAAACAAGTTTCCATCTCTTTAATACTATGTATGGATATTTCGCCAAATTATTTATATAATTTTCCACTATGTTGTAGCTAATTATGTATAAAATGTATGCATTATAATTGTTTTAAATTAATAGCTTGTTCAGGAATTCACATAAATAGAAAAAATGACAGTATTTTATTTCCACTTTTTCATTTGTTACACTAAAAAATATGTTAATTAACCATTAGTATATTTTTAAAAGGTTTTTACAGTTATGAATGGCATTGAGGGACTACTTTTGATGACTTTTATTGACATTTTAGTAGTTTTTAATAACAAATTGTATATGGAATAACTCAAATTAAGTTAGTTTTGGTACCGTTATTCATAAGATTAACCTTTTAATAACATTCTGTATATGGAATAACTTAAATTAAGTTCGTTTTGGTACCGTTATTCATAAGATTAACCTTTTAATAACATACTGTATATGGAATAACTCAAATTCAGTTAGTTTTGGTACCGTAATTCATAAGATTAACCTTTTAATAACATACTGTATATGGAATAACACAAATTCAGTTAGTTTTGGTACCGTAATTCATAAGATTAACCTAACAAATAAGTTCAAACTATTTTTATACAAACAACTATAGTTAGATCAAGGTCTTATAATGCAATTCAAGAGCATAAATACATGGGGGAAAAACATGAATCACAAAATATGAAAAGTTTATAGCATGAAAACAGCAAATCATTCAGGTATTATGCAATGATAGTTACGTGATGTATAATAATTAAAGTTAGTGATTTAAACAAACCTCTAATCCCACTAGTGTTAGCAAAACCAACAGTAAACACACTTAGCAAACACTTCTACTATCCAACACAAGCTCTTAGTATCATACACACCCATAAGTCACGTTGCCCAATGCGTTTCCATGCATTTCATGTTGCCCAATACAATGCACTCGTCTAACACGATCATATTCAAGATGCTCAAGGCAAGCTCAAAGTTCACAAACTCAGCCCTTTTTACCGTGTCGTACCCTGGAGCGATACTTCAGAAATAAAGCTCTCTTTCTCCAGATCTGTGGATGAATTCAGTAGTGTTGTGAGGTTAATGAAGGAAACAACGCACACGTCTGTTCACACGACACAATACATAAACACAATAAAAGTCTATCTGATGTTCATCTGTTGCAAAATTAAGCTGGATTCACTTTGTGATAAATGATCTGATTAGACATGCTATCAGCAGCCATATTACTGCAGATAACCTGTGCATTAAGTTACAAAGGAACAGATCCATTTGCATGATGTCTTTGGTTTTACAAGTCAGTAAACACACAGACGAGTAAACGCCCAGTGCTGTGAGCACCACAAAAAAACAAACAAACAGCGCATGCAAACAATCTGGTTTGATGAAAAAGAAAAGCACAGTGTTAATCACTGCAAACTGGGGAACATTTTTTATTTAAATAAAAAATAATAATAAATATAAAATAAATAAATAAATAAATAAAAATAATATATATAATATAAATAATCAGATAAATAACATACAAAATTTTAAATATTAATATATATATATATATATATATATATATATATATATATATATATATATATATATATATATATTATTATTTTTTTTTTTCATTTAGACAATTTTTTTATTTAAAATACTAAACAAACTTAATAATTATACAGGCATATTTTTTAAAACTAATATGGAATAAATTACTGATATATGCAGCAATAAAAACATTTTAATTGAAACATTGAAATTATAAATAATTTAATTGACAGATATTACTTAATTATTTGACTGCATTTGTAAAAGGCCCATAATTAGATCATTAATTTAATTCTACACGACAAAAGTCTTGGTGCCTATCCAAGTTTTAGGAACAGCAAAAAATAACTTAGATGATCAATTGGTATCAGAAGTGGCTTAAATGAAAGGCAAAGGCCTCTAGATTACGCTTATTTGACCACAATAAAATATGATCATGCCTGTGAGAATCTTGGCTGAGGGTTCCAGTAGGTCTTCTGCAGTATTTGTGATGATTGGGATGCAGTTCAACAGATGATTCAGCGCAACAACAAAAAAATCGACTAATCGATTAATGCATTTCTTACAAATTTTTCCTATTCTTAATGCATTTCTTACAAATTGTTCCCATTTTTAATGCATTTCTTACAAATTGTTTCCATTTTTAATGCATTTCTTACTAATTGTTTCCATTTTTAATGCATTTCTTACAAATTGTTCCCATTTTAATGCATTTCTTACAAATTGTTCCCATTTTTAATGCATTTCTTACAAATTGTTTCCATTTTTAATGCATTTCTTACAAATTGTTCCCATTTTTAATGCATTTCTTACAAATTGTTTCCATTTTTAATGCATTTCTTACAAATTGTTTCCATTTTTAATGCATTTCTTACAAATTGTTCCCATTTTAATGCATTTCTTACAAATTGTTCCCATTCTTAATGCATTTCTTACAAATTGTTCCCATTTTTAATGCATTTCTTACTAATTGTTTCCATTTTTAATGCATTTCTTACAAATTGTTTCCATTTTTAATGCATTTCTTACTAATTGTTTCCATTTTTAATGCATTTCTTACAAATTGTTCCCATTTTTAATGCATTTTCCCAAATTGTTCCCAATTTTAATGCCATTTTTCCTCAAATTGTTCCCATTTTTAATGCACTTCTTCCAAATTGTTCCCATTTTAATGCATTTCTTACAAATTGTTCCCATTTTTAATGCACTTCTTACAAATTGTGCCCATTTTTAATGTATTTTTTCCTAAATTGTTCCCATTTTTAATGTATTTTTTCCAAATTGTTTCCATTTTTAATCCATTTCTTCCAGATATAACTGTAATAAAATATAGTTTTTTTAAAGAAGTGTTATTTTAGTATTGTGACTTTATTTCCCATTTTCATTTTAGTAAAATCAACATTTACTTCTTACTTCTTTTGCTTTTTCATTTGCATTTCAGTACATTAAGCTAAACAGTAGATATTATTTAATTTAATTTTGCATTAATCATTTTTTAAAGGAATAGAAAGGTTTTAATTAGCTAACCGACCTTACTTAAAAAAAACAAAATTTTTTATTAATATTTATAACAACCTATTGCAATCTATAAAACACACGATGGACAATCTGAAATAAAACTGTGTTTTCATGCTACAGTTTCTTTAAGACACATTCCAAACTCACAGCGAGCACAAACACACTCCTTCTTACCCCTTTAAAGCTGCTGATGTGCGCAGTGTTTTCTCTCTCACACTCCTCACACACAACCACTGAAGAGTGACTCGAGCACACAGACACTGTGCTTGTGCATTCAGACACAACACTCAACCTGGACTACATGGACAGAAGAGAGGTGTCGGCGGTCACTGAGAAGCAGATCACTGGTCTTTCATTCATTTAAAGACACAGAATGTCTTTTCACTACTAGAGGGTGCGCATTCGCAACAAACAAGAGTGCAGTTTGATGACGCTGTGACTACGTGGGGAATCATGGAAGTTGTAGTCTTTATTAAATAGGATGTCTATTGCATCTTTGCATTGACTTAACATGTGTGAATGCATCATAATAAAACCAACACAATTTTGTGGCAATTCGTAACTTTCTGAGTTAGTCGCTGACATTAATTTGTATAATCTCATTCCTAATCTAATGCACATCTATAGAGAATGCACCATAATAAAACCAGAACAATCTCACTGCATTTTTTAAATTTAGTGACTGATATTAATTCCTATAATCTCATTTGTACGTTTTAGTTCGATCTGCTCATCCCCCAATGAGGAATAGTGTTAGGGAAGGGGTTTTGGCACACACCTCATTTTTAAAATTGAACATTATCATATGAATTCTGAAAATACGTTTAATTTAAAGGCAGAGTATGTAATTATCATGACTAAAAGGTAAATATTCATAACAAATATGAATGTAATCATATTAATTCCTTCAAAATAGCCACTTTTTTGACAGTAATTATCATATAAATAATATAAAGGCACAGTATGTCATTTTCACCACTAGAGGGCGTGTGTTCACAACAAACAAAGGCGCAGTTTTATGACGGTCTACTGCATCTTTGGTGTAAACATTATTAAAACCAACGCAATTTAAAAATCGTACATTTTCATATGAATAAAATTGTAAGAATTCCGTCGAACTAAGCACTTGACAACATGCATAAATTACATAAAATGGCTCCTTGTGAGATCAGGATGAATATAAACACACAATATTTTTAAAGCATCTTTGCTGTTTCTCTGTTTCTATAAATTTGAACTGAAAATCAATGATGTGTGATGACGTAAGCATGAACACACAGCGGATCTATCTAACAACATAAAATCTCACTAGTTAAAATAGCTTATTTCTGTGGATTGCTTTCAAACATTTCTCCAAACATTTAGAGTAATGTAAGTGTATCAGTCAGCAAAATATTAAACACTGTTCTAGTGGTTTCTGGATATTTTAATAAAAAAATCGTACATATTGTGCCTTTAAAAAAACTGAAGGGCGTCAAAGACCACAAAAACATAATAAACAAAAGGCAATGGAAAGTGTAGAGAAGGGCGGAGGAAAGATAACAGCTAAAGTGACCTTCAGTCTTTCTTGATGATTATTTTATCAGTGCAGAGATTTGAGGGAGAACTGGGGTGTGTGATATTTATAGTACGCGATAATATTGACATTACTTAGCCAAAAACTGAACACAAGCGCATTTCGAGAGTCCAGATGCATTGGTTAAAGATCTGTTAATAACTAGCTAATAATTCAGATTAAGAACGCAAAAAATATCCCAAATGGGTTTGTGTTTTTATATATTAATAAGCCGTTATAGTTCAGTAACATCACAAACTATTTTTGCAAATATTAGATGTATTACAAATAATATGTGATACTGATATTAAACTACAGTCTACCAAATAAGAAGTTCATACTGACTGAGTTGCATTTTATACTAAATATTGTCACTTTTTCAGTTGCCTATGAAAATAATTAAAGTCAGAGCAGAACATTTGCGCATCTCATAGCAACACTTCAGTGTTTTAATCCTGAATTAATCTATTTTTAAACATATGATCAAAGCCATGATTCAATGATCCATTCATTAATACTGTTAGTTGCTTTGTTTCTGAAATGAGTCTGCCATTTTAAAAGAATCATTTGTTCGAATGATTCAATGAATCGCTCATTAAAACATGGATTTGTGCCACTTGTTGGCAATTTTAGTCCCATATTTGCTCAGGCCTAAATTAAACCAAATATTTTTTAATTATCATTATCATAAATAAATAATTGAATAAATAAATTAATAAATAATATCCAATTTTGTTTGTCAATATTGCACATCCACATTGTGATTACTTATGTACTTATGAACCTTTATTTATGCTCTCTAATGTTGTTTAAACTTGTATGATTATTATATATTTTCTGTGAAACACAAATAGAGATATTTTGAAGTCTGTCCATGCTGCTTTTTCACATGCAATGCAACTGAACAGAAACTGGGGGTCTGTTAAGGCCTAAAGAATTACTGAAAAGCACCTTAATAGTATGCCAACAGTACTCAGTTTGACCTCTATTCCAAGCCTTTAATATTTTACTATGGCACACATCTATATCATAACTTTAAATATTGCTATAATACATAATATTGGCAATTATTGCCAACATAAAGATAAATACAAGGCTTCCAATGAATTTTAGTGTTGCCGTCATGTAGACAAATCTGACTTGTAAACTTTTAGACAAATTCAAGATGTTCGGCCAATCACATTGCAGTAAATCAGTTGGCCAATCACAGCACTCTGGCCTAAGGCGGAGTTTTGTACAATCTGGACCTCAATCAGATCTCTTTCAGTTATGGTGTCTGGGAATAGAGTTGCTCCAATAATGTAGAATGTGAATTAAATATATATATATATATATATATATATATATATATATATATATATATATATATACATACACACACACACACACACACACACACATACATATGTATATACATATATATACATATATGTGTGTGTGTGTATGTATATACACACACACACACGTATATATATATATATATATATATATATATATATATATATATATATATACTGTATATATGTATATACTGTATATGTATATATACACATACACACACAAAACATTACAATACACCACAGTTTACTGTAGTAAAAATTCTATTATACTGCCTACTACCATGTTTATTACAGTTTATCAGTTAACTATAGTCAATATTACAGTGATATGCTGTAGCATTCATGAACCTTGGTGTTGTAAATATTATAATATACATACAGCGTATAATACACTTTACTATAGTATTACTATAAATAACTATAGTATTTTTTCATGTGGCAACCGTCACATTTGTCATTACCACAAAACATAAATCATAAACATAATATGTAGTGGTCCCTTATGGGATATATTAATATCACCATGGTCAAATCTGATTAAATATGCAGAGGGGAAAATAAGTTGCTGAAGAACTACTGAGAGATTTCAGCTGCTGTCTGGGCTTTCACTCCCTTTCTACACCTCACTTTCTTTATGTGTTCAATACTTTTTCTTTGTGTCATTTAATTTTATTACTCAGAACTTCATTTGTTTACTAATGAGATTTGTTTTCTTTGCATATATGGATTTCCTTGGTTGCTACCAACACCCGGGGAAAATTTCAGGTCAACGGCACATTTAAAATGTGTATGTTTTCTAAGAAAAAATGGTTCAATACTTGTTAATTCTTGTTTTCCCTGCTGTATACCATGCCAAGACTGAATATTAAATACATACTGAATATTAAATACATACAAGAAACTTTTGCTGAGTCCTATTTTTGAGTCCTAGTCCTCATTCACATTCAGGATGAGCATACTGCAAAACTCCATTCAAGATCAAAACAGCACAACAATGTGACATTGAACATTTTGATTACATTATTCCATCAAAAAACTGCACGCTAGTTTCTCCAAAGGCTGTTTTGCTCACAAAATGAGCTGTAAACCAAAACGAAAGATACTTAAGAGACTCTGGAGAACAGGTACAGCTTATTTTTCATATGCAAAGTAGTGTACATGGACGTGTGTGGCGAAAGGAGAGCTCATTTGAATGAATGTGTCATGATGGAGGAACACCTGTCCGCTGATGTGAGTTAATAAAGTACACGGGGATGATCTAATAAACATAAACATCTCTTATTAATGCATCGTCCCGTGACGAAACACCATTTGTGAAACGCAGATGTTTAAAAACTTCTCTATTGATTGTCTATTTACCTATTCGTCTCAACAAAAAAGCTGTATAATTACTTTAAATGGATTCCCATTTCAAATAATGAATGCTCCGGAAAATAATTAGATTTTAAACAATGCTAGCGTGCAGTTGTGAGTGGTTGCCGGGGTCGCATTGTTTGTTAGTTGCTGTTTGGTTACCAGAGTGCTTCTAGTGACTCAAATCTCAAGTCTCTAACCTAAATCTGTCTGTTGCTCTGAACGAGACGGTTACATAATAAAGCAAAAAGGGATTTCCCTGCTGCAAATGCTTCTTAACAAGCGTAAGCACCCTCTGAATATAAGACTATGCTGGTATTTGTTGCTCAATAGAAAGGAAAGCAAAACTAGCCAGCATACATCAGCCAGCATGGAAATTCAATGATTCCACTAACCCTAATAGCAAACGATTCAGTGTAGAAACTCAAGTTTTTACCTCAGCATTCTCAAGTTGAAACGTCTCCTTATCCGAATTGGAATGGAAGCCATTGTTGTCTTCTGAAATCAATAAAAAAAGAATTATTAAAATTATTTTATTAAAATTATTAACATTATTTTCAACATCTGTTGAAAATGTTTAAATGACAAAAAAGTCTTCCTTTAAAAATGAGTCGTTGTGAAATCAGTGTCAATTTTATTTAGATAATATGAACAGTTCCAGAACTCTCAGTTATTTTGTCACACTTTGAAGGTGCAAAAATAGGTGAAGGTCATAGAAGAAAAGGGTTTTTCAGAAACCAAAACAATAACAGTGTGCGCACATTAGAATATGTGCTGTTTAATTCCTTATATCTGTGAGCAATTATTATTAACGCTTTACAGTTAATATATGGATATTATAGAATGTGAATAGTTTATTAACATATCAAAAGATGACAGATTTAAGAATCACAGGCCAGCCCTGAATACTGATGAATTGTTTTCCATTATTTTAAATAATAAAATAGTTTGAGGACAGTTTGAAACATTATATATATATATATATATATATATATATATATATATATATATATATATATATATATATATATATATATATATATACAGGGTTTGACATTAACTTTCTTGGTTAATAGCCACTCGCCATTATCACTAGCCATAATTTTGTTGTTGGGAAAATATATTTCATATATATTAATTTGTCTTTGGCATGGGTTGCAGCATGCTAAAATGACTTCATTTAGATTTTGTGTGTTTTCCACTTGCTTCCTCGATGATTAAACACTTTTTTGTTTATGAGCTTACTCGATGAGCAAATGGGTTATGCTTTCATAAAAAAAAGTGTCGGATTGCAATTAGTTTTCTTTCACAGGACTATTCAGGGCTCAACGCAATAATGATTTACCATTTTTTTTTCTCTGGCCACAACAAACTAATCATTTCCTTGCCAGAAATTTTAAGTAATGTGTCAAAACAAGCAAAATATTGCTGTATACATACAGTTTTTATTCAACAAAACATAAATATATATATATTTTCACTCATCTGAAACTATGCACAGTGATCTGTTCTGACTCAAAATCCCATATCACCCGTTAACTATGCCTCTAACAACATATTAAAGCAATATTATTGTAAAGGATTATTATTAAACTATATTAAAAAAAATAACAGCAAGAAAAAGAAAGCGGGTAAAAAACATTCTGTGCGCGATAATGAAATGAGGATGCCGCGCACACGGTTAATGTTAGGCCAATTAATAATCTGTTCAAAGAATGGTTAAAGAGAAAGCGGCAGCAAATGCTATATATACACACACACATATACAGTTGAAGTCACAATTATTAGCCCCCCTGTTTATTTTTCCCCCAATTTCTGTTTAACGGAGGGTAGATTTTTTTTCCCAACACATTTCTAGACATTATAGTTTTAATAATTCATCTCTTATAACTGATTTATTTTATCCTTGCCATGATGACAGTAAATAATATTAGACTAGATATTTTTTAAGACACTTATACAGCTTAAAGTGACATTTAAAGGCTTCACTCGGTTAATTATACTAAAAAAAATAAATTGCTTGAAGGGGATAATGATTTTGACCCTAAAATGTTTTTTTTTTATTTTTTATTAAAAACTACTTTTATTCTAGCCGAAATAAAACAAAGACTTTCTCCAGAGGAAAAAATATTATCAGACATACTGTGAAAATTTCTTGCTCTGTTAAATATTTGGCAAATATTTAAAAAAGAAAAAAAATTCAAAGGGGGCTAATAATTCTGATTGCGACTGTATATCGCTGATATGTGCTGTGAATTAAATGTATTTTATGTGCATGTATGCTAATTGCAACACTCAACAACATCACATACTTTTTTCAACATTGTGCAAATCTATAAGAAAAAACACTGTATTTTGTGCGACTTCTGTTCTGTTAGAGAATAATCTGTGTTACATCTTACAGTAAACATGGTTTTCGATCCCAATTGCTGACCGCATGCTGACACACACTCCAAAAGCAGCTAAATAAAGCTGAAATCCTAGAAGGTTTCTCATCAGAACTAGCTAAATTTACTTCAGGCCAGACTCATGTTTAAGTTGGGTTCTCCAAAAACCACGGTTAACTCCCTACAAGAGGAGAAGCACTGTAATAGCATGCTTGACTTTCTAAATCCAGACATCTAAGTGGATATTTGAGCATCCTTTAAAAATTGTTCATGAAGGATCTTCTCAGTTTCATTTATCAACACCAAAATATGCACCTACTTTATAATACATTATTTACAATTATTTTTTGTATCCGATGTCCAAGACTACGCACCTTCTTCAAAAATGATCACATATATTAAAATGTCAGACCTTAATATAAGCATCGTAATAGACCTACTTCATATAGTTTGACACAGAGAGGAGAAAAATAACACTTCAGTTATATTCAGTGAGAAAATAAGCAACACTATTTGGTGCACTTGCTGATATTTATTCAGCCGTATATAACTCAGATATCTTGTTACAGTGAACGGAAGGTAAATCAGTTAGATCCTGAAAGCAATATATCAGACATAAAATCCTAAAATCTTCTTATTAACATAATATTTTATATAATAATCAAATTAGGTAAGTAACTTCAGTCTAGTAAGGCCCAATCCCAATTTTACCCCTTAGCCCTTCCCTTTACCCGTACCCCTCGTTTTGCGCATGCCCGTGAAGAGGTAGTGGTGTCCCAATACTCTTTAGCTTAAAGACGTAGGGCTAAGGGCAAAGGGGTATACACCCCTTCAAATTAAGATTTTTCAGGACCACACTCGAAACCAAGGGGTAAGAAAATTTACCAGAATACACCAGCCACAGCGGCACCCGGAGATAAGGAGACCCACGAAAGCAATCATTTATTAATTATAATTATTTGAGATAATTTATATAATTAGGCGAAGCAGTGGCGCAGTAGGTAGTGCTGTCGCCTCACAGCAAGAAGGTCGCTGGTTTGAGCCTTGGCTCAGTTGGCGTTTCTGTGTTGAGTTTGCATGTTGCATGAATGAATTTATACAATTATTATATTCACAATCCATTATGCATAAAGTTTTTTATTTATTTATTTATTTATTTATTTATTTAATGAAATAAAAATGTACAGATATACAGCTGCAATTTAAAGTTTTTTTTTTTAAACAGGAGCCAGAGTAGGGCTGGGCCGATAAATAATATTATATCGAATAGCGAAAAAATTTGTGTCAATAACAATGTACATTTTTACATATTTATACAATGACTTTTATACTCTATATTGATCTAAGAGCCAATCACACAGCAGAAATGTGCAATGAATGAAATCTTATAGTGTGTTGATATTAGAGATGTACCGAATTTTCGGTCGCTGAAAATTTATCAACCGAAAATATATTATGCCATTTAATGGACCCTCTTAATTTTTGTAGCGACAAATATTGTGGGTTACAATTATAAAAGAATATTTTTTAAAATTAATATTTTAAACCTGGAAGCATTAACAACTTATATTGAAATATACATCGTTATCGTTCAATATGGAAAATAATTATCGAGATTGCATTTTTGCCATATGGCCCAGCCCTAAGATAAAGCGTTTAAAATAAATACATATAAGCTTTTATTTCTGAATACCGATTCACATTCTCAACTTTACTTTTCTCTCGCTATAAATTATTCTTATTTTTCTTTTAATCTTCACCTGTGAATTGCGCCGAATAAATCAATCATAGTATCTTTATGCTTTGAGGCATGTGATTGGCTGTTTGCTTCTGACTGTCTTCATTTGCATGCATGAACTCAAGATCAAAGCCAGAGTTAACAGTGAAACTTGATGATCAATGTCATGGTATGCCAATGAAGCCACTTTGTTTGGTTTTGTCAACTCAAAACTAATCTTGTAATCCTGAGTTTGTTTAGCCACAGTCGTGGAACAGGCCAGTGGTCTCTCTAAACCTTGCTCTGATTGGCCTGTTGGACCATATTAAATGCCTCCTTCTTCATCTTACCCCAGACATTCTCAATAATGTTCATATCTGGTGACTGGGCTGGCCAATCCTGGAGCACCATCTTTGCTTTCAGGAGCTTTGATGTGGAGGATGAAGTATGAGAAGGAGCGCTATCCTCCTGGAGAATTGTCCCTCTCCTGTGGTTTGTAATATAATGGGCAGCACAAATGTCTTGATAGCTATCCTTATGCTTCGAGACATGTGATTGGCTGTTTGCTACAGATGTCCCACCTTCATTTGCATGCATGAAACTCAAGATCAAAGCCAGAGTTAACAGAGAAAGTTGATGATCAATGGTTCCAACAAAGCCACTTTGTTTGGGTTGTCAACTTAAAACTAATCCTGTAATCCTGAGTTTGTTTAGCCACCGTCGTGGAACAGGCCAGTTGTCTCTCTAAACCCTGCTCTGATTGTCCTGATTGACCAGTTTATTGTTAATACTCAAAATTGAACACTGATTAGCACCATATCTGAATTTTAGCACTTGCAATAACACTTTTAAGTCTCAGCTACAATGTCTGAGTGAACAAACACCATCAACTGGCATAATGCAAATCAAAATAGAGTACTTTAAAAGCTTCACACTTTCTCATCACCACTGTAACAAAACTGTGCCAACTTTAGGTACAGCAGAGTGTAAACCTGGAAGTGAGAATGCGTGCGCGAGCACAGGAAACGGTGAGCACATGCCACATATACTGTGGTTAGTAACGCGCACGCAGAACAAAAAAATAGATACACAAGCTACAATAACAAACTGGCATTAATAGTCACAAAGTTGAAGGTGAAGGCTTATATGATTTAAGTGGCAGAGAATTAGTCTTTGGTCCTAGAGTGTTAATTAAAGACAAAGTTGAACGCATGGATGTGTTTATAGAGCCCGTTATCAGCTTATCTGGGAACTCCTCGAATGCTGCGGACAAGTGAAGACAAAGTCAGCAACATTCAGACAGGTCTAACACGTGCAGACATATGCAATCTGTCTTTACATTAGTAATACAAGAAGAATTTACTATCAGTCATAGTATGATTTTAACCCACAGAGCTCTGTTCAACATAGTTTAAAGTAGTGTTTTAATCATACTGAGGTCTCTGCACAACCTATTAGTGTTGTACTTAGACCCATTCCAATACATGTGTAATGAGTTAAAGCAGAAAACGCTCTGTAGACTACAACTATGACCAGGAGAATGGAAAGTATGTGACCATTTTAAAGGGACAGCCTAAAAAGGAACATTTGCTCAAAATAACGTGGATCTAACCTTTTATGATTTATTAATTCTTCTGTTGAACACAAAACCAATATATTCTGTCATTCACAGACATCCACAAAGACCCTTTAAGGTAAAACTTGATCAAGTGTTCAAAACAAAGTGAATAAAAGTTCATAAAACTCAAAAATATTTGTCATTGTACATTAATGTCCACCTATTTTACATGTATTAACTCATATATTTGAAATAAACACTTCTAAAATCATACTTTAAAATTATTTAGCGTATAATAATACACCATTTTCCAGTTATTAGGCTATTTTTGTAATTGTGAAATCTAATTTGTTTAAGTTATACACCATTTCCCCCCAGTGTAGCTTATACTTGTTATATGCTAGCTGTCAGTGTTTATTATCAACTTTTCCGTTGCTACAATACTGTAGGTACACTTAGCTACAGAATTAAACGCCAATGACAGACTTTCCCAAACTAAACAACACACATTACAAGCTGGTAATGAATACAGTTATTAAAATTAGCACTAAATGTAAACTAGCTAACGTAAATAAGACGTTGTCGCGCATAATTAGGACGGAACGGATATGCGCATTTGAAAAATCCCCTCCTCATGACATTAACTCTTCACAAGACACATTTTAAATAAGTCAAATTAAAAATGAAAACACATCCAACTTTCATATAAAGCACAAAACTGAGCATTAGTGAGTATTTTCCGACTATACCCTTGTGTGGAAATGTGTAAAGGCGTGTTTGGGACACTCACCGCCGCTGGACCAAGCAGTTCGGCTCATTTCTATAAGCGTCTCATCACTCGACTTTTGCGATCCGCGATTCATTTTCAGTCTTGAAGTGAACTAATTTGTTGTAGTTGTATAAGTGAAAGATCTTTCCGGAGCCCACGCCCCGTGATCTGATCTCCAGTGCCCGAGGACTGACCGCTTACTTCACGCTCAGCGGATCTGATATGCCCACTCGGGTTGGTCTTGGGTCTCCTTTGCTGTTTACGATCCCTACTATGGCAAAAGCTGTACTTTTAATATTCATAAGCAACCGCTGCTCTATTGGACGGTTGTGATGTGACGTCAAAGCGGTCTAATGAATATCCAAATCCAAATGTTTAATATTCATGAGGTAATCCTTCCACGTTCTTGGGTTGGTAAATTCGCTGTGCACTCTTGCTTTAAAGGCGAGGGATGTGGAATGACCGCAATTTTGTCGGCAAAACTTCAAGGGATGCCCATTTTAACTCTTAACCCTGGGTTAGCTTAATTGTTCATTTAGCTTAAAGAACAATAATTTTAGGATATATATAATTTATTAAAATACTCCTTAAATGTAAAAGTGCACAAGGTAATAGATTAAACATAATTTATAAAATTATATTGATTTCTATTCATTATTTTTTTCCGGCTCAGTCCGTTTATTACAGATTTTCTTGTAAGCTTTGACCTGGTTAAAGAAACTAGGACCCCTTCCATTTTCCCCAACACTATCCCAGCAGAGCAAAACCATGTCTTGCAGATGTGTAAACCCTTTCTCGTTGGATTGACACATTTTGCCCAAAATTTTTTAAAACAGTTATTACGGATGTCATTCAAGCACTCCAAACCCCATTGTTTTAGCTATGGTAACCAAAAAACCATCTATTCCTAACTATTAGAAACTAAGATCAGTATGAAATCTCTGAGTCACTGGTTTGACAGTGCAGAAAATTCAATTAGCAATCAGTCTGCAAACCTCATTTAAAAAAGGTGGCAGGTCTATGTTGTTCTTTGCCAGTATGGATGGAGGAGGTCAATCCTTTCAATAGATTTTCCTTTATTTTGGTTTGCATGTGTTTTCTGTTATATCTACAGTGTTTAATTGGGTTCTTTTTGTTTTGTTTTTACTTTATTTTAGTTTTCAGCCACAGTTTGAAAAAAAAAATGTCATGAATTTAATACATTTTTAATCAAAGCATTTCTTATTCTGGATCAAATTATTTGCAGAAAGGAAAATTTGACACGGCCTACATAGAAAGACAACAAATCACACTGGCAATAGGCTACAATGGCAAGCAATGGTGAGTTCTGTGTTTTGTATTTTGTTGTCTGTTGTGTGATGATTGATTGAAAGAGCTAATATACTTATTTGCAAGTTGTGTTGTTTGAAGGCAAAATTAGCTTTTGTTGCATATTTTAAACGTTTTGGCACGGTTAGAGCCAAGCAAATTGTGTCATTTTGACCATGAGTGCTGCAGTTTAGGCCTGTGTGTTGACTGTTTTGCCACAGTGTAATGAACCGCCAACTTATCCAGCATATGTTTTAAGCATTTGATAGCCTTCCAGCCGCAACCCAGTACTCGGAAACATCAATACACACTCACATTTACTCACCCCTTATACACTCTGGCCAATTTAGTTTATTCATTTCACCTATACGGCGTGTCTTTGGATGGTGAGGGGAAGCGGAGCATAACTTAATAAATTAGCCTTAATATTTTAATATAATTTCAATATATTAATATATTAGTTTATATACAGTTGAAGTCAGAATTATTCGCCTCCCTGTTTAAATTTTTCCTTAATTTCTGTTTAACAGAGAGCAGATTTCTTCAACACATTTCTAATCGTTTTAATAACTCATTTCTAATAACTGATTTATCTTATCTTTGTCATGATGACAGCACATAATATTTTACCAGATATTTTCAAGACACTTCTATACAGCTTGAAGTGACATTTAAAGGCTTAACTAGGTTAATTAGGTTAACTAGGCAGGTCAGGGTAATTAGGCAAGTTATTGTACAACGATGGTTTGTTTTGTATACTATCGAAGAAATAAAGGGACTATTAATATTGACCTTAAAATGACGTTTAAAAAATTCAAAACTGCTTTTATTTTAGCCAAAATAAAACAAATAAGACTTTCTCCAGAAGAAAATATATTATCAGACATACTGTGAAACTTACCTTGCTCTGTTAAAAAGGGGGGCTAATAATTCTAACTTCAACTGTATATAGACGTCTTTTTTAGACGTCTGCTACAGCAATGGTAATATAAGCAAATTAAGATGTTCTTGTTAAATCATACTTCTGGTTTAAGAAATATTTTATCTTGTTGTCTGTTCATTATTTAATGCTGTCGTGTACCTTAATATCAGCAATTGCACACCTTTTATACATCTATAGGCTTATGTTTTATAATAAAATCAATCAACAATAGTTGTGTTTTGCAAAATAGTGCCTGTAAAATTTTACTAAAGTCATCTAAAATTTTAAATATGTGTACACAAACTTTTAAACCTTTTCTCTCTGTTGACTACACATGACAAGATAGAAATTAATCGTATAACAAAATCCTTAAAAATAAGAAAGGGATGTCCATAAAGTGACTAAATAATCTCCATTCATGGATAATTGTTT